GCGCTCTACATCGACGATTCTGGTCTCAGTGCTGTCGGCAGTTTCAATTTTGTTGTGGACGCCATCACGGAAGGCGCGCCCCAGCTCCACGCAGCCATTGTTGATGGCATTGGTGCACAGGTGGCGGCAGACAAATCCAGTCTAATTTGTTCCTCGGCCAAGCTTGGCAGGGCCATTCAGGCCAAACTGGGAGTCGAGCTCACGGGACCCATTACTTCCAGTGCTGTTAACCTTGGGGTGGACGACACGGTGGGGAAAAGTTCTCGGGCCCAGGGCCGCAACAAAAAGCTCTTGATTAGGAGGCGTCTTTTCATCAAACGTACGGGCCGTGTGGCTAAACTTCGTAAGACCCTTGGTTCCAGGAGAACTTTGCGAGTTTTCACTGCAGGACCGCTCCCTGGCTTGCTGTATGGCAGCGAGGTTAGAGGGGTCACTGACTACGAGTTGTTGCTCATCCGCCGTGCGGCGGCCAGGACTATTAAGCCTTCAGCTGGCCAACGCTCCCTGACTGTGCTTTCCCACATCGAGGGCGACCCTGCTTGGGTTGGGGCCGTTTCCCCGATCTTGCGGTGGCACAAGGAAGTGTGGTGCTCTCAGGTTAGGGCCTTTGAAGGCTCGATTCCTTTCAGGGAGCTGAGGCAAGCGTGGGAAGGTGTTTTTCTTCAGGCTTCCCCCTCGTGGAGGGCGGTAGGTGGTCCTGTGGCCGCCATGCGCAAGTCCTTGGAGAGGATCTCGTGGACGATGAGGGACTTCGCCACTTTCGTCACTGACAAGGGGATCGAGCTTTCCATGACCATCATGTCCCCCCAGCTTGTCAAGCAGCATCTCCGTGGGGCCGTCTTCAGGATTCTTGAATGGGAAGCAGGTGCTAAATGGGATGTGCCTCATCGTCTTTGCTTTGATGTGGTGAAGTCCGAGCTCCGCCGCAAAAAATATTCGGCGCTCGAGAAAGGTTGCATTCAGGCTGTTGCGACGGACGCTGTATGGACTCGTTCTAAAGCTGTTAGATTGGGTTACCAGATAGACCCCACGTGCCACCTCTGCGGCTCAGCCCCCGACACGCTCCACCATCGACTCTGGGTCTGCAGGTGCCAGGAGGTTGTCGAGCTCCGTTCCAGTCTGGTCACTCCCGAGCTTGTTTGCAAGGCTCTGGAGGAGCCCAATTCGGTTCGATCTTGTTTTGGAGCTTTTGCCCATCCTGGGGATTACTTTCCTGGTCCCGCGGCCGAGTCGTCTGGTACTTTCTGGGCCAGGGAGGACTTTCCCCAGGAGGTAGGCCAATTTCCGTTCACGAACAACATTTTCACTGATGGTAGCGCGTGTAAGCATGTAGTTCGCGAGCTCAGCAGGGCAGGCTGGTGTTTTGTGGCGGTGGACGACCAGGGGGACCTCTTGGGAAAGCTCTACGGTCCCGTCCCCCCGTGCTACCCCCAGACTGCCCCTGCGGGTGAGTTTGCTGCAATTTGTCAAGCAATACTTTTCTCAGGAGGACCTTCGGATTTTTATACCGATGCGCAGCTGGTCAAAGACCACTTCGGTCGCCCTCAGATTGACCAGCTGTCCCCTAAGCGCTGTTATAGTGGGTTCTCCCTCTCCCTCCTCTCTGATTTATGGAAGGTCCGCTCTTTGAACAAAGTGAAAGCGCACCTTTCTTTGGATGAGTGGACCGATAATCACGACAAGATGTGCCGATTTGGGAACCACCATGCCGATGTAGGAGCTAAAAGTGTTTCTGCGGGGGAGGGGTACCTCGGGCACCCACAGCCGTCGGAGGAGGACAGGTGTAGGCTCGATCTCGACATTAAGTTTTCTAGGGCCGTGGCGTCGCTGTCTGCGAAGTTGATGCCGTTATGGCCCAAATTAGACCTCCAAGACGTTGTGTGGATTCAGCCGCCAAAGGACCCCCCCCAGGTGGTTTCGTCCGTGCGTTGCGAGTGGCAGCCCATCCAGATTGTTGAGCTTGGGTCCGTCTCGGGCTTTTGGAAGTGTTCGGTTTGTGCGAAAGTCAGCCGTCTTTCCACCCATGGTCCCCCGCCTCCCCCCTCTAAGTGCACTCCTGTTAGTGGGCTGGAGGCGCAGGTTTTGGAGGCGCGGGGACATAGGTGCTTGACGCTAGCCTGCTCAGACAATTCTTCCTTGGTGATCTGCACCAAATGTTATTCGTACTCATCTCACGGTCGGGCTTCGGGCCTTGCAGGTGTTTGCATTGGCCCGACCAGATCAAAGAAGTACAACAGTTGGCACCCGATCTGTAAAGGCCTCCACCTAAAGCGTCCAGGAGTCTCGGTCGAGAGAGGGCCTTGGGCGCAGAAGGGAGGAGGCCATCAGGTCGGCGCTGCAGGTGCCGCAGTGGCGCAGGAGCACGGCTCTCCGCGCCCCGCCACCGCCGCCGAGGACCGTGGGGACGGGTTGGAGCGGGGAGCGGGGGGGGAGCGACTATGTCGGAGCCTGCTATGTGGCAGGACTGGGAGGCTGACGAAGAAGCCTCTCGTTTTCTTTTTCAGGGCCCTCCTTCTCCTCCTCCTCCCCCCCCCCTTCTTGTCTTGCCCTGTGCTCCGTCCCCATCTCGGAGTGTGGCCAGAGAGCCGTCGTTTGTCTCGGTGCTCGCTCACCGCGATGAGGGCGACTCGAGTTCAGACTAACGCCTGGGGGAGAAGCAGCGGGCCACGGGGAATCCTCCAGCTAGCTGGAGATGTCCCTGTGGCCCGCTGCTTTTCCTCGCTTTTCAGGTGTTAGGTTTTGCTGGCACGGCCAGCTGGCCTGCCCTAATTGTCTGGGCAGGCACTCTCCCTTGATGTTGATGTCAAAAAAATCCTCCTCCTCCTCCTCCTCCTCCTCCTCCCCCTCCTCCTCCTCCTCCTCCTCCTCCTCCTCCTCCTCCTCCTCCTCTTCTTCGTTAGTAGTATTGTCATTGCTTTGTTATTATTATTACTCGCATTTTCTTCCTTCATGTAACTGTTAATAGTACCATTCGTAGTCGGATTCTTACTCGTATGCTTATTATTATTATTCGTAGCATTCGTTTTCTTGTATGGATTACGATGGTTGCATTATTAATATCTGTCTTATTAGTATGAGTACTATGATTACGATTAGTATCATCAATATTCTGATTATTATTAAGCGTGGTATTATTAATATTGCTAGTAGTGCTCGTCTTGTTGTTATTCGTCGCATGGGTCGTCTTATTCGTAGTATGTTGAACTTGTTTATGTTGATTCATCTTCTTCGTATTTGTGGCATTAGTATTAGTATGATCGTTATTGGTAGTCGACGTATTATGATTAGTATTCGTCCTCTTCTTGGCAGTACTAGTATTATGCGTAGTGTTATTCGTGTTCGTGGTGTTGTTCTTCCCTTTGCCAAAATTAGTGATCTGATTGCTCGTCTGCCCCGTCGTCTTCGTATGAGCATTATGCTTAGTATTATTGTTTGTACTCGCTTTTCCTTACTATAAGTATTGATGATATTCGTCATATTCTCCTTATGATTATTCGTCTTCGTCTTCTTATTCGTAGTCATACCATTAATATTATGATTACTATTAGTATTCCTCCTCCTCCTCCTCCCCCTCCTCCTCCTCCTCCTCTTTCTCCTCCTCATGGTCCTCCTCCTCCTCCTCCTCTTCCTCCTCTCCTCCTCCTCCTCCTCCTCCTCCTCCTCCTCCTCCACCTTCTTCTCCTCCTCATGATCATCCGCCCCCTCCTCTCCTCCTCCTGCCCCTCCGCCTCCTCCTCCTCCTCCTTCTCCTCCTTCTCTTCCTCCTCCTCCACCTCCTCCTCCATTCCTTCCCCTTATAGATAACTCCTCCCTGTCGCACCCCGAAGTCAATGTTTAGGGCGGGCCGGGCGGTTTGCCTTAGATTTCCTCACCATTTATGACTCTGAAGCTTTAAAAGTGACAACAGTTTCACAGATGGAGGGCGGGTCGCTTTCAAAATGTGGCTCTCGCCTTAGCGCCGCGCACATTCGTTATCAACATGTGCAAGAGCTTCACGGATTGAGGGCGGGTGGTTTTCAAAATGCGGCTCTCGCCTCAGCGCCGCGAACATTCGTTTCAAAGATGTGCAACAGCTTCACGGATTCAGGGCGTGTGGTTTTCAATATGTGGCTCTCGCCTCAGCGCCGCGCACACTCGTTTCAAGCATTTACTAGAGCTTCACGGATTGAGGACGGGTCGTTTTAAAAATGTGGCTCTCGCCTTAGCACCGAACGCATTCTTTGTAAAGCTTTGCAAGCGTTTCACGGATTGAGGGCGGTCCCTTTTCAAAATGTGGCCCTCGGCTTAGCACCGCGCACATTCGCTTTAAACATGTGAAAGAGTTTCACGGATTCCCATGATCAACGTACAAAAAAACTGCGTTTTAGAAGGATTCTGGATTTTGCTGGTGCAGAAATTATCTTGATTCGCGGTGTTGAGATCCAACAAATGGCGTTATGGCACGATTCCGAATCGCCAAAACGCAGCAGTCAGGTTGACACGTGGCGTTGAAATCCCGACAATAATGTTTTGGCATGCTTCAAGATCTTCAGACGGTTGTCTTCCAAAGAGGCAGTTCCCTCAATGGAAATGAACCGTTGTAGGGGCCTATGAAGAGGGAGCTTGGAGGGAGGGTTTATTCCAACATCGTTGATGACTCGGTACACTGGTCATCCTCTCCTCCTCCTCCACCACTCGCCTTCTCTCGTTTTTATAGAGAAAAAAAAAGCCTGAAACTGGCGAAACCGTCAGAAACTCTCCGGAAACCTCCGAAACCATTCATCAAACCGTTTGGAACCCTGCGCAGCCTTCCGATAACCTCCGAAACCCTAACAAAATGTCAGAAGATCTCCGAACCACCTGGAACTCCACGATCCGCAACCATCCCAAAACCTCCGAACCCTATCCGAGCCCTCCTGCCGAACCCTCGGGCACCCACCGAAACCTTCCGAAACGTCCAGAGCTCCCGAAACAATCGACAAGACCCTCCCCAACGCGGAAAAAACGCTGGCGGCCGGGGCCTGCTGGAAGAAGGTCTCGCAGCCCTGGTCCACGCAGAAGGGCACGCCGCCGATCTCCATGCGCACCTTCCCAGACCTCGGGATCGAGGAGCCATTTGGGTGTGGTTTGCGCGATGTCTTCGCATGTTCCCGCGCGTTGCGTTAGCAACATACTTGGGGCATGTGTTGCCTCTGGAGACCTGTGGACTCCGTAGCCCGAGCTAGGTTTTTCTCCATTCCAACTCGTCCTGTCCTCTTCTTTGTCCTCCTTTTCCCCCGAACCACCACCAACACTCATCATCATGATTATCTTGCTCCGTCCCCCTCCCCCAGTGTCTACTCATATTCGTCTCTTCGCCTTGCCATATTGTTGCTCCTCCTCCTCCTCCTCCGAACAGTATGGCAAGGAGAAGAGGCGAGGATATATGTTGCTCCTCCTCCTCCTCCTCATCCTCCTCCTCCTCCTGATCATCATTATCCTCCACCTTCCGTTGATGTTGAACCATACTCTTCGAGTATCGGCAGCAGGATTGGCAGCAGCGGCGGCGGCTGCGACTGAGGCCACGATACCTCCCTGGAGGGTGGCGGCCCGCGGCCTTGCTCGAGCACGCGCGGTGCCAATCGCCGCTTGGTGCCGCTCGTCGTCCCGAGAGCGGCATGGGGCAGGGCCGCGCTGGGGCCGTGGTGCCGTGTTGCCGCAGAATGCCGTTGGTGCCGTGCCGTCACGCGCGGGGAGGGGCGGTGCCGCGCCGTGCCGTGGGGCCGTGCCGTCACGCAGTGCCGCTGGTGCCGTGCCGTCACGCCGTGCCGTGGCGCCGTGCCGTCGTTGTGCCGTGCCGTCGTTGTGCAGGCTGGTCGCGCGCTGGCCTGGCGAGCCGCCTGGTTAGGGGCGGGGTACACGTGCCAGCCAGGCACCCCGTCCAGGGCGGTGGCCGAGCTCCGCTTGGCAGCCGCCAGGGCTGGTCCACCGCCCGCCGGCCCTGAAGGTGGGGGTGTCGGGGTCGTGAGCTGGCCGGGCGGTGTCTTCGAGGGGCTCGCGTCCCCACAGGGCCCGTCCGGCAGCGACGTACACACGTTGTGCCATCAGAGGGCGCGCAGCCACGCCCCAGAGCCACGGGGGGCCCATCCTCCCCCCCTCTCCCTCCCTCCCCCTCATCCTCCCCCTCTCTCCCCCTCTCTCCTCCTCCTCCTCATCCTCCTCCTCCTCCCCTTCCTCCTCCTCCTCCTCCTCCTCCTCCTCCTCCTCCTCCTCCTCCTCCGCCTCTTCTTCTTCTTCCTATCATTAATATAATTCGGATTGCTAGTGTTGATATTACTCTTCGTATTATGATTTCTCTTCTCCTTACCAAGATTATGATGAATAGTATTCGTATGAGTAGTAGCATTCATACTATTCTTCTTCAAAATATTATTCTTATCATTTGTATTGTGGTTATGCTTATTACTATACTTATTCCTTCGTGGTGGTGGTGGTGGTGGTGGTGGTGGTGGTGGTGGTGGTGGTGGTGGTGGTGGTGGTGGTGGTGGTGGTGGTGGTGGTGGTGGTGGTGGTGGTGGTGGTGTATCTTTCTGGGCCCCGCAAAGATGCCGCAGGCAAGTGGCGCGCGGGCACCAGCAGCGAGGCTCTCAGCCCGGCGGGGCCAGCCCGCCGTCGCTGGAAGCGGCCGCCGCGGCCGCCGCGCTGCTGAGCAGCCGGCCCCCCGGCAGCACGGCGTCGACGCGCGCGGCCCCAGGGCCAAACTCGCCCGCGCGGTGCGCGGCCGTCAGCTGGCCGTAGGCATCGGCCATGCCGGCGCCGGGCCCCGCCGCGACCCGGAAGCGCTCCACCCCACCGAGGGTCACGAAGCGCAGCGCGTCGCCGTCCAGGGACACCTGAGCGACGGAGACGAGCGGGCCTTGCGCAAGATGGCATGGCAAGCCTCTGCGCGGCGACGTACGCGGGCCGCCGGCACAGCGCGCTACACTGGAGACGAGAGCGCTCACGCACCATCTTACGCGGGCAGCTTACGCACCAACGTCGGCGCCGCCGACCCCGTTTTCTTCCGTCGCTCACCTGGAAGAGCAGCGTTGGCAAAATGTGAGCCGTGTACGCCAGGCCGGCGTCCAGCACCGGAAGGTCGCACTGGCCCGCGCCGTTATGGCCGCAGGCCACGGCCGTGCCGTCGCTCCTGAGCAGGACGGTATGGCAGCCGCCGGCAGCAACTTGGGTGTAGCTCTGGCCTGCGCTCAAGGCCGGGAGATCGCACTGGCCGGCCCAATTGTCGCCGCAGGCCACGGCCGTGCCGTCGCTCCTGAGAAGGACGGTATGGCACCTTCCGGCGGCCACCTGGGTGTAGCTCAGACCTGCGCCCAAAGCTGGGATCTCGCACCGGCCGTCATTTCTGCAGCCGCAGGCCACGGCCGTGCCGTCGCTCCTGAGCAGCACGGTGTGGCAGAATCCAGCGGAAACTCGGGTGTAGCTCCGTCCTGCGCCCAAAGCTGGGCTGCTGCACTCGCCAGCGCCATTCTGGCCGCAGGCCACGGCAGCGCCGTCGCTCCTGAGCAGGACGGTGTGGGCGGCTCCGGCGGCCACTTCGATGTAGGCCTGGCCTGCGCCCAAGGCTGGGAGGGCACACCGGCTGTCACCCTTGTAGCCGCAGGCGACGGCCGTGCCGTCGCTCCTGAGCAGGACACTGTGGGCATCTCCAGCGGCAGCTTGAATGTAGCTCTGACCCACGCCGAGCGCAGGAAGATCGCACTGGCCGGCCCAGTTGTAGCCGCAGGCCACGGCCGTGCCGTCGCTCCTGAGCAGGACGGTGTGGGCATCTCCAGCGGCAGCTTGGACGTAGGTCTGGCCCGCGCCCAGCGCCGGGAGCTCGCCCCAGCCGACCTCGCCCGAGCCGCAGGCCACGGCCGTGCCATCGCTC